AAACGTGTACTACAACGAGTGAGCAATAGGTATCGAATATCTACAGTCCCTGATGACCATATCATAAACATTTTAAGGATAAGTAACACAAAAACGATCTTTTTCTGAAGAAACTGAATTCCTTTTATGTATCCAGATGTCTTTCTCACCGAAAAAATAATATCTGACCATCTTACAAGTTTATTATTGAACAATTCACCAAAATTTGGTGTCTGGAAAATGAGAAGATTCATGACAAGTCATGGGTAACAAACAGAATGAGATAGCAAATCATTTCTAAATTCTAAAAAAAAAGTATATACATCAGATTATATACAGCAGTATGATTTTACTCAGGAATAGACACTTACAAAAAGGTATGTCTTTAATACTTGGGATTAAATCTAAGACATACACAAAAGTGACGGTATGAATAAAATTATTTACTCATCTCTGAGAGATACACGCCATACAAAGAGTGTAAGGAAAGAAATACACACCAAAATAGCAGCAGTGTGATCGTACAAAGAAAACACTGATACAAATAGAAGGCGATCATCCTTAAAAATATACACTGTACCAATGGTGCAACAGGAACTGTTGAAAATAATACAATATTACATATGGACATAACGGACAGTATTCCAGATCAAAAGTCCATAAAAAAATACAAAACAGGAGCAGAACAAACACAAACCTCCAAAATATCAGAGGTGGGATCAGGTGCCATGGAGGAGTGAGCATCCCTGCCGCCCGGTCACATCCGCCGTGTGCTCCTTGTCATTATCGGGGAATAACGGGAAAATCCGTCGACAATTTAGTGTATAAATAATGGACTAACAATTAGTATGAAAAACGTCAGTCAGCATTTGACTCAAAGAAAAATTGTTAATAATTATTTGCTGACAAAGTCATTGTATCGACCATAGAACTTACGAAATGATGACTTTAAACGAGAATGCTGATATTCTTATTTCATCAATTTGCTTGTCGATAATTTACCTCGTTTTAGAAACTGATCATACGTAGAGAATGCTCCTGCGTATCAACTGTCTGAGATATATAAATTCCGTATGCAGGTGATGAAGGTATATTGCTGCAAAAGTAAGGGAAATTGTCGATAGAAAAGTTATAAGTCATCACGTTTTTCATAGAGCGTGGTTAGATTACCATTAACGCCTTTTTCAAGTAAAAAAAATATCCAAATATGAAACAGATGTGTCAGGTATCTTTAAAAAACAAGACTCAAAAAAAAGTATACATACGAGACTGCATCAATAAGGCATGATGATGTGGTACATGTATTAATATTAGCTTCTAATTATAAGAAACATTCTACATCAAGCCTGATAATTCTAATGCAAAAGCTGAAGATAACAAAACAATGACGATCTAAAAATATATATAAACAGTACAATTATGAGGGTATTAGACATAATAAAAGGTTATATTAGCTAACAAAATCGTTCTGACGAAAATAGAATTTACGAAATGCTGAATGAAATGTTGAAGACCACTTCTATTAACACTGTATGTGAATATAGCAAACATATGGACTTCTAAAATCATCAAAGGTGAGATCAGGTATTATGGAGGATCGAGTATTCTACGTTTTTACGATAAAAGGTGCATGTGTTTAGTAATATTATATACTGTGTTTCGTATTATTGTCAATGTATCAAATTATATATATTAACATAAAATTAAAGAGAAAGTAGATATCCTTTTTTGTCATTAGATTATGTCATTTAGGAGATTACATGAAAATCCTGCTCTTGTGTAATATTTGGAAGACATAAACTCTTTATACAGGTGATGATAGTTTATTGCTCAGTAAATAAGTGAAGTCTACGATAAAAAAATTTCGTTGATTTTGATATGTAATAGAATATCTAAACATAAAGCAGATGTATTAGACTCTGTGTGTCTTTTAGTTTGAGTTCAAAGGATTTACTCAAACCAATTAGGAATTAGGAATGAAAACAGATACATGTATTCCTTATATATAAATAATGCTAAACGAAACTCTATAATTATGAGATACACATAGCAACAGGACCAGTATAGGTAACTGTAGGATTGACAAAATAACACGACTTCTTCGACTAAAGTGTATTATTAATTACAGCCTAACAGGACTAATTGAGAAACAATCTGCAAAAGGAATGAATGTATATGTAAATAACAGTAGCTAAAATAAAAAACGGGGATAAGAAATGGGCAAGAGTTGCATTGTGGTACTCCCTTAGAGAAAACAGACGAAAAGCCCGTAGAAATGTAGCGTTTTCAAATCATTATTATTTCATACCTGTACATGCATATACTTTGTTAACATATTTTAATGTTTGATCATATCATAGTAATTAAGATATTTCACATTTATAACTATAACCGTTTCGTTTAATTTAAGAATTAGATTCTGGTAATTGAAATATTTTCTCCAAAAATTTGAACTGTTGACATTTGTATTTTTTGACGTTGCAGATTGCTCCGGGTGTTAGAGAACGATATCACTTTAAATGTTATTACTTGAAAAGTTTTCAAGTTAACATCATAAAACTTCGTAATTTATCTGCCAAGAACACGCTTTATCCACCCTGAAAATTTTATTAAGATACATTAATTTCTTTAAAAGATATGAGCTCAGTCTACGAAATTTTGGGACAACCCTCGTAATTCAATCATTTTGAAAAAACACCTCAGCTAAGGCTTATTTTGGAAGGAAAATATCTTTTTAACAAAAGAAGTTATGATTAGAGTGTCTTTACTTCTTTCAGGTGAACTTCAACTACTTTCCTCTTTGTATAAATGTCGTATTTCTCCGTGCCACATCGTGACCCTGAGGATGTGAAGGTCGGGGATAGAGGACAGTATCTACAACAAGTCACTTTCTCCAGGTATTTTGTCAGAAAAGGAAACGAATACAATGTCTTGTGACTCTCTGATGAAGAATCCGGTACCGCTATCCTCCGCTTTATCCCTCTCTCCCACTCCGTACCTTAAATTGTTTTTAGGAAACTGTACCTTTTTACACCTGGTTCTTAAGACCTTACGCCTGTTTTTGTTTTACAGCTTTTAAGTTTCATTTATTTAATTTGACATTTCTTCACTTTATATTAAACATTTCAAGATACATTTCGACATGTAAAATTGACATTACATTTTTGAGAAAGATTTTTTTTCTGATAAGAGAATCATGAATATCTTGTGGCTTTTTCATGCATGATCTTATTCCATCTTTAAAAAATATTACTAGTGGAGGAAGGTGTAATAAAAGCAGCAATTATAATATATATATATATATATATATATATATATATATATATATATATATATATATAAAGCACTAAAAATGACCAACGACACGAACAATAAAAATTGTCAAATTTTCGGGACGCCCTGTCCCTTCCTCAGGACAAAGAAAAAAGTTAAAAAGTCATAAGAACAAAGAAAAGATAGAAACAAAAACAACTAGCACTACTACTAAACTACTAAACTACTAAACACTAGATATTTACATACTTAATTACATGTTGAATTCGAAATTTTTAAGAACAATAATAAAGAAAGAAATCTGGACATTTAGGATATACAGTGTTGTTGGTTTTTTAGTGCTTTTTATATATATATATATATATATATATATATATATATATATATATATATATATATATATATATATATATATATATCTGAAATAACGTGCAAAAAGTTAGCTCAAATTAGCTGGAATCCTGGGGTGTTGCTAAAACGCGGAACGGAAAGCGGAACGGAACGGAAAACGGAATCTATTAGGGTGAGAATGTGAACTTGAACGAACATTTCCATAGTAAAAAGGTTATGATTGGAGGGGGGGGGCAAATATTTGATATCTAAACGAACCATGGAAAGAGAAGAAAATGTTAAAAAAATATTAAGATAGGGCAAACCTTTACGGCGAGCTCGAATAGACAACTCTTATACACAATGGTTGTTAAAATTTCATTCAAAATAGAGTCCTTCTCTGGATAGACAAAGTTGTGGTAGATAATGCAGATTGCAGAATCTTTGCATTCATTGAAGTTAAAGTTTGTTTGTTTGCGGCACATATGTGTGCATGTTGGGGGGGGGGGCGTAGATGAATGACCCCGTAAAAATGAGTTTGTTTTCCCGCTCATCGCAAGGTCTTAGAAGTTGTATTAGGTCTGCCCCCTTTTTTGTGTCCAAAATGTACATAAGTTTTAATAAATCAATTTTTAATTTGGCTGTGGGACCTACACAGACCCGAAACTACCATCCCCCCTTTCATGACTCGCGAATTCGACACTGCGTGCGTAATCTGAATAGTATGACTAGTTATTTTTGTCTTTTCAGACATTGGCATTGGAAACAAATTGAAAGAGGGATGGGGGTCAGAAAAAATTTCAATATACAACAAATTTGACAAGCAAAAAAAGGGGAATACTAGTATGTCCTTTGCCTAGCCTGGTTCCCTGTCCCTGTTTTGCTTCGTATACTCCGTGTCGCTAGGCAAGGATGAGACAGGGGACCAGGCTAGTCCTTTTCCCAAACACGAAAGTCCTATTTCGTGTGTGTGTGGGGGGGGTCTTTCAGAAGCATTTTTTTTCCACGGAGGGTGTGTATGACTCATGAATATATAATAGTTTACAATAAATTTTTATCAGAAATGACTTTTACAACAAGAATATTGCTCTTTTATCTGATTTATATTGAATCTATGTTATTTGTTTGACGTAAAATTTTCCGTTTTCCGTTCCGTTCCGCTTTCCGTTCCGTTTTCCGTTCCGCGTTTTAGCAACACCCGGAATCCTGTTATCTAATAGGAACCCAATAAACCCTCCTGTAAAAGAAGCTGTTCCAAACGGCAATTTCATCACCTGATCTAGGTCTTGGGAACCCTTTTTATGGCTATAAATAGATATACATACCTTTAACTGAATTCCCTAATCAATACATATGCACAGCTAGAAAAAAAAACACACAGGTATATTTTACTTTTTACAAAGATATATAACTTTCTTCCAGCATTATTATATAAAAATAATATAATTTTTATTGATGAGAAAAAACAGTGCAACACGTGGCACGTCGTTTCCATACCAACTATTTCACTTTCGTTTTGTTATTCGCGGAATTCCTTCATGGACTCTGTAAAGTGGATAGTGTTTTGTGGACTTTTTACTTGGATCCCTGGAATTAAATCATTTTTGGATATTGGTCCGAGCGTGGGAGCTGCGGTATTTGCTGGAATATACAAAGCCTACAAACCGGTCAAGTGTTATTTTAAAGAATGCTGTCCGGCAGACTGGGACCATCTAAATGCTACAGGTAAAATATTACTTATTAGTAAAACTTCGAGAAAATTGGTAATGATAAATCCATCTTAGACGAATCATCCGTTACTTATCGAAAGATTTTGGGCCAATATATAAGAAATTTGATTTACCTCTATTACGTTTATATGAAAAGAATATTAATTGGTGTATCGACCTACTACGTACGGCAATACAGTAAACTACACTTGTCTGTTAAAAAAAACAACATTAAAATCGAACCAAATACATGTTTAAATTTCTTTGCTTTTCAAATATGTTTTGATTTTCTGTCTTTTTTATGAAGTTGATATGAATTGTAGTCTTCAGACCAGAGTCTTTGGACAGGATCTGGCTATTGATGTTATTATGAAGCACCTGCAAGCTCACATGACAAAAGATCCAACAAGAGCGCTGGTACTCTCTTTTCATGGAGGAACTGGCACAGGGAAGAATCATGTCAGCAGAATTATCGCCGAGGGTCTATATCAAGAGGGAATGCGAAGCAAGTACGTCCATTTCATATCAGCAACTAAAGAATTCCCACACCTATATCACGTGTCTGTTTACAAGGTAATTGTTTCACAAAAATCTTAACTTTTATGTTTTTTTTAAAGTTTTCTTATTTGCAATCTCCTGTGGGAATAATGCCTAAAAGTACCCTCTAGAGAAGACTTAAAAACCTGAGAACACGGTTGACTTGATGAACATAATATAAGATATGTAACTACAGAACATCATAATTATGATGAGAAGTTGTCCCCCACCCCCCACCCCCCCCCCGAACATTTTAAAATTCTTATTAGTTACATGTATTAGTATTAATTGATAAGGGAGCATTGTACTCTTGTTATTTTAGAGAAGATAAGTTGCATTTTTACGAAACATCAAGTCCACAGTATATAGCCATAAGTGAGTCATAATTTAATTTTTTACACTATATAGTTCATTGAGAAACCAAATTTATAAAAACTCGTTGTGAGGTCAATTTCCATGGTTTTTTCACTTGAAGCATGCAGAATTGTTCACATTTTCTTGTCTAAAATGCTAAACAAAATGATACGCAAATCATTGAGAATCAATACTGAGATTGGCAAGACAAAATATAACCTCAAATTACTATGATTTCTTAACAAATTAGAGTCTTAAGGTCAGACGAGACGTTCCTCAAAATCTGTTTTGTATATCTTCTAATGTATGAAAAATATTCAAAATTTTATTAACATTCTGATTTCTAAAACAGTTTTTAAACGTTTTTTTTTTTTTTTAAAAATCCAAAAACTTAATCATTTGAAATTGGAAAATTATTTTTCTTCCCTTAAGGATTATATCAGGAAAAAACTACCCCTGGTATCTTGCAGAAATGCCTGGTAAGGTACCTCAATTTTTTGTGAGTAAACATGTTTAAGTAGCAATACTTCAATGACAAACTCCTAGAAAAAATTATCTATTATTAAGGAACGTCTCGTCTGTCCTTTATTTTTTTCATTTCACACTTGTACGTGATATCACCGCATTGCCGACAGACAAAATCATTTCTTGAGCCAATGAGACAGCTTAGAATAATTGATATATATATATATATATATATATATATATATATATATATATATATATATATATATGAAGAAATAACAAAATTTAAGCAGTGAAATATTACTCATTTTTTAATTTAGGACAAATTAAAGGAGTTGGTTGAAAACAGTGTAAAAGAATGTGAGTGGTCTTTATTTATATTCGATGAAATTGACAAGATGCCACCTGGAGTCATCGATACTTTAACACCTTACCTGGATTTCAACGAGCACCTGTCGGGTACTGACTACAGAAAGGCCATCTTCCTGTTTTTAAGGTTAACGATCATTCTAGTGCAACAATTCGTTTTACAAAAAAAAAAAAATCCTTTTTCAAAATGATTTTAAAGGAATTCCGTTTTTAGATTAACAAAGAAAAGTTGGTTATTTTCGCTTCATGAACCTTGAACTTGGAACTTTATTCTCATAACTGACAGAACAGTTAAGAGAAGATATGTACAGTATAATGAACATGAAATATTACAATAACAGAGTAATATCAACCAAGAGAGGTAACAGTTAAGAGAAGATATGTACAGTATAATGAACATGAAATATTACAATAACAGAGTAATATCAACCAAGAGAGCTAACTCTCTCAATTATAATATCTAACAATTTACAAATCTTGCTGAGTTTATTAGTATTTTTTACATTAAAAAGCATTTCAAATTTCAAAATATTTGGATTCAAATGAAATATTTTAGCAAGCAGAAAAATTGTTTATGTTTGTTGAAATATCAAAAGAAAATACTAATTAACGCTTATTTCTTTTTTATTTCAATTATGACTTAAAATCTCTCTTTTAACAGTTATATCTAAGGTTTTGACAAACTGTTTTTACTTGGCTGTGTGAATATATCTACTTCAAATTATATGTTTTAGAATAATGTAAACAAATACTAATAGAAATAAATTAACCTTAAAATTAAAAACATCTTTTCTGTTTGAACTTACTTTTTCAACACCTTATGATTTCATTTTTCGTTTCCAGTAACACGGCAGGAAAAGAAATATTTCAACATACATTTCAACACCAGGGTTCCAGAGAAAGAATTGGTTTGAATGAAATGGAACAACTCATCAGCAAAGTCACTGTTAACAACAACTCAAGTAGGCGACATAGATTTTAAACCTACATCCCGTTCAATTTTGAATGGCTTCTGTAGGTTTTCTAGCATGAAATATGGAGTTAACGAACAATTTCCATGCTTAAAGTTCATTCATACAATACATATCGGACCTCTAAAACACTGGAGTCGTGATTAAATTTCCTTGAGGAGGATACAACCACTGTCGACTGGTCTTTTCGTGATCGGACAATAGGAAAAAATCGTAATAAATTCATTATATACAACTGGCATAAAAACGTTAGTCATATTTCTAGTTAAAGATAAATTTGTACTTGCTGACAAGGTTAGTTATCATCGACCATAGAAACTGCGTAATTGTGACTTAAAGAGAGATATCATTGTTTCATCAACTTGTTTATCGATAGCTTGTCTCGCTTAAAAATTGTTTGTACGTTGAAAAATATCATTGCTCTTTGAACCAAATGGAAGACATAAAGTCCATGCAAGTGATAAGAACTTATTGCTATAAATGTAATAGAAGAAAGAAAAAATCGACAAATTAATGGAAACATTTGCAATAACTATGAGCAATAATTTTGCCTTCGTGCTACATAATCTAAACATCCTGAAACTGGGTTTCCAAAAAGGGTTACTGATGAATAGTTCGGTTAAATTGTCAGGTAATTTCAACTGTTTCCTGAGAGGGTGTTACGAAACTTCGTAAAATCTTCAACATGAGTTGAAATGCAAAACCCCACAATCAGCAGTTTTATTGTTTATGATTAGTAAAAAGTATTCTTCAGTATTTCACAACAAATTCATATTTGAAATCCAATGTTTACCACAAAAAATGTTCTTGTATTCAAAATACTTTTTGACAAGACAAACTTCTATGAAGCATTAATTAACCTTTCAAAATGTAAAATCATGACTTTTCATATTATTTTTGTAGGTATTTCAAGTAGGTCAAAGGTCAAGGTCAGATTATCTGTAGCGCTATTTTTCATAATATTTCATAAATTACGGTACACAAGCTTAATGGCATTTTACTCCTAATGTGTTTAAAAAAATATGCAGTTATCAAATTTGGTACTATGAACTATTTTGAAAAGTAGGTTAAAGGTTAAATTCGAGGGTTACTGGGTTGGTAACCATTATAATTTTCAATATTTATTGTAGCAAGCAATATATTTGCAAAATATCAGAGCAATACATTTATTTCAGAGTTTTCACAATATAAGGGTCAGACGTACAAACAGACGCCATATAAAGTTACGCCTAATAGTTGCTCTGCAACAAATTAGCTGAATTTTTTTCGATGTACAGTTTCATATAGCTATATTGCATGGAAAGTCCTATTCGCGATATTGTTATACGTTTAATTGCTTAACTACAAGTCATCATTTCAAAAACATCTTTATTTCACATTGTGTCCTTACAGGTGGCATGTATTTGAGTGACGTCATCATCAAGCACCTCGTCACAGCCTATGTTCCCTTTCTACCGCTGACAAGAAAGCATGTTAAAATGTGTATTAAAGATTACCTGGTGGCCAGAAATTATTATAAAAGGGACAGTGTGCCAGAGGAAATAGTCCAAAAAGTCATGAGTGAACTGATTTTTTTCCCAGATGACACGCAAATATTTTCAGTGACCGGTTGTAAACGTGTTCCAGATAAGGTTGATTATGTTATGTACGATGGATAAGACTCAAAGAATTAAAAGTGCCGTGTGTGTATAGTTGCATGGAAGATAATTTCGTAGATTTTAGTATTATATTAAATGAATATTTGTAATACTGCATTTATATCTCATTCAGAAAGGTGTTTTGTTTGGAATTTAGTATTTTAGTTAATGTTAAAGAACTACAAAACTACTACAAGTGATATCCAGTGTTATTGTTCACTTAGAAATAGGGAAACTAGAATTTTTTTTCCCTTTCTTCCGCTGGAAAGAAAACATGTCGAGGAATGTATTTAAGATTACCTGGTGGCCAGAAATTATTATTATAAAAGGGACAGTGTATCAGAGGAAAAAGTCCAAAAAGTCATGAGAGAACTGATTTTTTTCCACATGACATGCAATTATTTTCAGTAAACGGCTGAAAACGTGTAGCGAATAAGGTTGTGATTTTCACTGCCATAATAATATTATCATTATGCATTAAGGACATACGCAACGTAGCTTACCTACTGATAATTTTTCAAGATATTTTCAATTCAAGATTATAGTATCATCAGATGTTTATGGACAAAAAATCAGCTTGTATTACCAAAGGTTTTTGAAAGATATTGATTGATGAAAAATTTTGGATGATTTAAAGAAAAATATATTAAAAATGCTAAACATTTATTCCAGATGTTTCTTTTATCCAAAATTGTTATAAAAGAAGTGTACAATACCATTATGAAGTTAAAACATTACACACAGTTCCTTCAAGATTTGGAACTCTTCAACTCCATGGAAAAAGACAAAAAGTTCAAACTATGTTGCGTATGACCTTAATGTCTCATTCTGTCATTCTCCAGCATTCCGCCTTATAGAGTGGACAAACAGGAAGAAGTTTAAAAAGATTCTTCCTTTTGTCTTTCTACTTATGTCATTTGTTTTCTAGATGTTCTTGAGGCTGGTGAAAACACCCCTATCTTTACTCAGTCTGGCCTTTATATCTTTGTATCTGAAATATACATGTACATGTATTTATTTATGTATCTCATTTAAGTTTCAATTAATCATAAATTTTAGGTTAAGTAAACAAAAAATATGGAAAAATGATTATAAGACCCTTAGAGACGCGTACTACAACGAGTAAGCAAGAGGTATCGAACATCTACAGTCCCTGGCCATATCACATTTTAAGGATAAATAACACAAAAACAAACTTTTTCATAAGGAACTTAATTCCTTCCGTGCATTCAGATGTCTTTCTCACTGAAGAAATAATATGTGACCATCTTACAACTTTATTATGGAGCAATTAACCAAAATTTGGTGTCTGGAAAATGAGAAGATGGGTAATAAACAGCAGTGAGATAGCAATGAAGGATATGGAGATAACGAATAGTTTTCAATATCAAAGTCCATAAAACAATACAAAATAGGAGCGGAGCAAACACGGACCTCCAAAACATCAGAGGTAGGATCAGGTACCACGGAGGAGTGAGCATCTCCTGCCGACCTGTCACACCCGCCGTGTGCTCCTTGTCATGATCGGGGAATAACGAAAAAAATCCGTCGTCAATATTGCTGCAAAAGTAAGGGAACTTGACGATAGAAAAGTTAAAAGTCATTACGTTTATCATAGAGCTTGGTTGTTAGATTACCATTAACGAAACAGAATGAGATGTGTCAGACTCTGTGGTATCTTTAAAAAACAAGACTCTACAAAATATACATACGAGACTGCATCAATAAGGCATGATGAGGTGGTACATGTATCAATATTAGCTTCTAAGAAACATTCTACAACAAGCCTGATATTTCTAATGCAAAAATTGAAGATAAAAAAAAACAATGACAATCTAAAAATATCTATAAACAGTACAATTATGTAAAGAGGGTATTAGACACAATGAAAGGTTATATTTGCTGACAAGATCGTTCTAACAAAAATGGAATATACAAAATACTGAATGAAATGTTGAAGACCACTTACAATAATATACGTGAAAATACCAAAAATATGGACCTCAAATCATCAAAGGTGGGATCAGGTATCAAGGAGGAGTATCCATTCAACATTCGTCTTTACGATAAAAGGTGTTAGCCTACTTTTATTAAATATTTGACTTTAAGATATCTGGTATGAACAACAGAACTCTGAGGAAATGTTTTTATGCTACCAAAGCGGGGAAAACTGTTAATCTGTAAAATTTTGGATAACGAATGATCGAGAAAAACGACACTGCATGAATGAGTGGACGGAATTCTTTTAATCTTAAACTGTCAGCAGCAGACTCTTTCAGATTTTACAGCATTGACAGGTTGCGATACCTATTTATATGTTCGGTTTGAAATTCAGATGAAATTCAAAAGATGCGCCAATGAAATCCAAAATTTCTGTGACATAGAACTGTTATTATAGGATACGGTATTTGAGTAGCTTCCCTTTGTTACATTTACGAACTTGCATAACTTACCGGGGAAAATATATCCATTGGGATAATACAACACGTAAGTTTATGGTGTTAAAGAACTGTAAATTATCTCAGAGAATGCTAGTTATGACACAACATTATTTAATGACGTTTTATCGTTAGAACCATTTTGAATTTCAGCAACGTTTACCATGTTAACGTGCGCATTCGTGCGCACGATTTTTGAAATTAAATTATTAGACCGTTTCACGGTAACTGCGGTACCTGCTCTTTTGCAGGGCAAAATGATAGAGTTTGGAGAAATATAACGTAAAAGTAATTGTTTAATATACGTCATTTAATTATCTGTCAATAAAAACTTCGCCAAACGTTATTATTTTGCCCTGCAAAAGTACTGCAGTTACCGTGAAGGGGCTAATAGAAAAGTAAAAAAAAGTTTCGTTTTATAAATTTAAAATCATAATTAAATGATAAGAAATGAATATAATACGCTACGCGCATTGGTGAAGTTTTCCGTCCATTTTTTTTCTTTGATTCATCGATCAAAGAAAAAATATTACATTCATTTCTTAATTCTAATAAAATATTCAAACATAGAGCAGACTTTGTGTGTCTTTTAATTTGAGTTCAAAGGATTAAGTCAAACCAATTAGGAATAAAGAATGAAAACAAGCATTCCTTATACGGGTATATAAAACGCTAAACTACAGTAAACTCTATGAGATACACATCGCAACAGGACCAGTGTAACGTAACTGCAAGGTTGACAAATTAACACGACTTCTTTGACTAAACTGTATTATTAATTAACCACCTAACAGAACTTTAACAGAGAAACAACCTGCAAAATGAATAATGATTTAATCATTTTGAAAAACCACCTCAGCTAAGGTTTTGATTTGGAAGGAAAATATCTTTTTTAACATACACTGTATGAATTTATGCTTAGAGTGTCTTCACTTCTTTCAGGTGAACTTCAGCTACTTTCCTCTTTGTATTAATGTCGTATTTCTCCGTGCCACATCGCGACCTTGGGGATGTGAAGGTCGGGGATAGAGGACAGTATCTACAACAAGTCACTTTATCCAGGTATTTTGTCAGAAAAGGAAACGAATACAATGTCTGGTCACTCTCTGATGAAGAATCCGGTACCGCTATCCATCGCTTTATCCCTCTCTCGCACTCCGTACCTAAAATTGTTAATTCAAACTGTACCTTTTTACACCTGGTTCTTACAGACCTCACGCCTCTTTTGTTTTTCACCTATTCTATGAAGTTTCATTTATTTAATTTGACATTTCTCTTTTTTTGCGTTTCGATATGCAAAATTGACATTGCGTTATAAGAAAGATTTTTTTTCTGATAAGAGTATTCTGAATTTCGTTTGGTTTTCTTTCATGCATAATCTTATTCCATCTTTAAAGATACGAGGGGCGTTCAATAAATAATGTCAATGGGGCTCAGAAAGAAGCAAAAGACGCTTTTCAATGATTTAGTCTTCATCATTTTACTTATTAATCTATTTTAATTCAAACACATGTCCGTTACATTTTTTATCCAATTTCCGATTGTTTTGAGAACTCATTTTTGGATATGACCCTTAGTATACTGGAAAATGGCAGATCCAATGATTTCCTGGACTTGTTTTTTTCCTTCTGAAAGGTGTTTTTTTCAAGTTTGGAAATAGAAACAAGTCGAAAGGTCAAAGATCTGGCAAATATTGTTAATGTGAAAAAACATTAACTTTCTGTTTATCCCGAAAACCCCTTTGCTCTTTAGGGCATGCAGGTTTTAACGCTGTCATGAAGAAATTCAATGTAGTGGATTCCTGATTCTGGGTCCTTTCTCTGATAAACCTTTCGATTTCTTTGCAAATAAACTGCTTTCTAGACACCTCCAGATATTAAACTGTCTCCCTGAATACGAATTTGAACAACAGTACCACTAATATTTAAGAAAATTGCATATAAATCTGTCTTTGTGCTCTTGCAAACCTTTGCTCTTGACAGACCTTCGCCGTTTTTATCAAGTACATCTTATGATAAATTTTGTTTTAATGGTTTTAAGCAATAGATTCATGTTCCAATATCTGTTTGAATATAAAACAAACGTGGATTACTACAATTACTGATATTTTAAAATAATTGTTAAGACTTTTGTACATGCTGTCGTTTTCACTCAATTTTCAAAATACAGGGTGACCTTAGAGTACCAAGCTTAATTACTGTCAAACGTTTCTTAAAAACAGTGTAAACTACTCCCGATATGATGTCTATCAAATTTGCTATGTGTCTTAAAGTCAATCATACAACATCAAATATTATTTGTTGAAATTTGGCATACAGTACATTAGTTGTTATAATTTTTGTTGGCAAGGAGGGTACCCATTTTTGATGCCCATTATATAATTTTTTATCATTGAAATCCACCTGCTCAGTTGTCTATAAAACAGGCATCGGTTGCTGTAAATGTCACATATTTCAGTGAATATTTTTTGGGGATTTTTATCAAGTTTTACAGCAACTTTAATGTAGTTTTTATTTTCACTCTAGTTTAATGATTCTTTACCATTCATTTATAATGCAGTGTCTCGAATAGCCCTTGTTTCCCACGATAAAACTATGTGATGAAAAGTAGTCACATAAACTGTTATAAATTCACTAAATATTCAATAATGACAGAAAGTCAAGCTTTATGTCATATGACTACTATATTGTATGTCATCGAGCTAATGACATTATTTATTGAACATCCCTCGTATTACTAATGTAGGGAGGCATAATAACAGCATCTATTATAAATCATATAGTGATGTATATCTGAAATAACGTTAAAAAAAGCTCTAACTGACCTGGAATCATGTTATCTAAAAGAAACCCAATAAACCCTCCTGTAAAAGAAGCAGTTCCGAACAGGACTTTAATCACCTGATCTAGGTCTTGGGAACCTGAAAGGTAGGCAACAGGAAATTTATTAAATTTATTTACCAATTTTATCGTTAAAAACAGATATACACACCTTTAACCTTTTAGAACTCTCTATATCATTTATATTTCTCAAAATTCTTTTAAAAACCTCCTGTTCTTATGATGTCTTGTAAGTAGTTTGAATATCTTTGAATTCATTTCTCATTCTCAAAATAAAAAAAAACTGTGTACAGTTGAATTCCTGTAGGATATGATTAGGGGAAAACACGCACCTGTTTTGACTTTGTTGCTGTGTTGGGTTAACCACTGTGGAATCATAAGACCCATCAGGAAGGAAACGCCCAGTATCGCTAAATTTCTTGTTGAGAACATTTCACAAAACTGTAACACTGGGTGAAAGATAAATCAAAATTAGAGTCTTTTCAAAAGACAAATAAAAAAACCAAAAGAATCCTGTTTTAAAAGTATATTCACATGAAAGGTGCATAGACACAGATTTGAAGTATCAAGAATTATATATTGCTATTGCATTTCACACGAAAATAAATTAAAAATCTTATTTCATCTAAAAGTTGTTGAAAATTTTTGGATGGATTTGATTGGCACGTACGTCCTTGCACTTTCACAAATTTTTATTTTATTCTTAATTCTTATGAAAAGTGGCAATCTTGTTGTGTATTAATGAAAAATGAAAAATATTAAAACTATAAAGTAAACTAAAACTTCCAATAAAGGAAAATGTATATTTAGATCAAGCATACTTTTTAAAATACTAGTGTGTTGAAAAGAAGTTGTTTAATTCTTCTGATGTAAATCAGGATATGAAAGCATCCCATAGCTGAAGTATAAATTCAGATTTGCTTCATTCAGCAAATCTGAATTTATACTTCAGCTATGGGATGCTAGGAAATATATTGAGATAACAAACAGTAATCCAGCTCAAAAGGTCATCAAACAATGTATTTAAAAGCAGAGCAAAACATCATAGAAGTGGGGACAGACAATAAAACAACCTTGATTCCAGTTATCTTACCTCAATCAAGAGAAACTTACCAGAAATCCCTACGGAGGCCACCATACCTAACCCCAGTAAGAGGGTTCCCCCGATAATAGGGTCCGGTATAAGGGCTAGTATGGCTCCCACTTTTCCAACAATCCCACACAATAAAAGGATCAGTCCAGCTGTTACAAAAACCGCCCTGCTGGCTATCTTATTGAAAAGAATAAAGAATTTATTAAAATTCATACTGACCCTAGGATTTTTTTTATTGTTTTAAGACACTACATGAAACAGTTCATCAAGAAATTCCCTGCTCTCGGATTGATTCATTGATAATTGATTTATAATTACAGTAGTTTTTTTTATCAGAGAGATCCACAGAGATCACTTGTTTTCATTGTAGTTTTATTGATCGAGAAATAATATTACATCATAAATATTTCAAAAAGACACATTTCTGATTTGAGCAGTATACCTTTGTTATTCCAATAATTCCAATATTACTGCTGTATGACGTAGTGGCGTGCCCCGCCCCCATAATACCGGAAACAATGCTCGACACGCCCTCTATTGAGATGCCTCTGTTGATGGCGTGCACTGGTGGAGGAGCTGCCTCTGACATCCGGGCAGCCGCAAAATAATCCCCCACTGATTCAAAAATGGATGATATTGTGGCAGCCAGCATTCCCATGTACCCAGCAATGCTGAATGTTGGCATTCCAAAGGGAACTACGAAAAAATGAGTAATGATTCAAGAGAGAAAACCAAAAAGACTTAATCTTTTATACTAGCTTTACCTACCAAACACAAAATGTAAATTTGTAGTCTGATGGAGATATCTTGTTCCATTGTTGAATCTTTTATTTATGTTTTCTCTTAAAATCTATTTAGAATATTTTTACGAAAATACCCGTACTTCATAGAAGTACTTCATAGAAGTACTCTTTCAAGTTCAGTGATATTTAAAAAAATAGAGTTCCTCATTAACGGTATCTATATAGTCTTTGTAGACTTCGACCTCTCTAGTTCTCTTTCTATCTAAATAAATTAAGAAAATTACATGGAAGAGGGAAAGTAAACCAAGGAGTCTCGTTTATAATGCCGACTTTGGAATCTGTTCTGGCCTTGAATGCTGGCTCAGTGCTGTTCCTAGAAAACACGTCTGTCTCCGTCAAAATAAAGGAAAATAACCACACCACGGCAATAGTCAGGACCACCGGAAATAGCTGGAAGATCGGAAGTTTGGTCGCGTGACATTTCTCTTTTCTGGAAAAAGCTGGAACCGGAAGTTGGACTTTGTTTATACATGTTGAAAACAGGAACAGCAATGCCAGCGTTCTAAAAAGAAAGAATACAATATTGGTGTACGTTGTACCTGTGTTTTGAGTTAAAAATTGCATCAGTAATACTTTTTAATATATTCGATCAGTGCATACTATTAGTTCAAGATATATTACTGTAGTCAGCGGCGACTCACACAAATTGTTATGACGAAAATAGTTCCATCATTAATAAGTAGATACAACATAATTGTTCACGATAAGAATAATGTTGTGTATGTCATACGCAAAAGAAACCAAAATTATTGTTAATTTTTCCTCCAAAGATCACTTTCCCCCCTAAATGCAAATACAAAAAGTTAATATTCCTACGCTCGCTCCATCCTCAGCTTTTTTTAACATGTTTGATAACAGAGAATATCTAGGTCATTCTTCGGTTGATATCTTTTCACTGATGAATTGATTATACTATATCAACAACTGTAGTAAAATCATGTTAATTGTTCGTTACTTATCATAAAGTTTCCTCTAAGAGAAAAAAATAATGATTCTGTGTGTGTAGCATACTAAATGAGGGAATTTTCAATCCCTGAGCAGATTCCTGCACGTATGTAGACAAACTACACATGGGGAGAGTACCTATAAAATGTGTAACAAAACCCGAACTGGCCGGGGGATTTCTAAACAGACAATCGTTTAGTTTTTATAAATCAGAATTTGTATTCATGTGATCTAATTAGGAAAAAAGTTCTGTCTGCCATCGTAACTTCTCTGTTCGCGGGAGTTCGTTTGACAACTCCATCGCACGTGTGTGGGGCTAACTGGTCTTGCTGACATAGGTATTTGTACTGTTTGTTAGCATGGTTAGGAGACTGGGTGAACGTAATGCTACGGACTCAGAAAATTTACACACAAGTTATGTAACTACACAGTGCAGTTTTATTTTTTATAAACGTCATTAAACACTGTTAAACATATTAAATCTAAAAGTCGAATATCTTTGGATATGGGGTAACCCATATCCATTCTTGTTATTGTTAACAGGGATCCAGGGTTGGTTTTGGGTCATGTTTACGATTCATATTTCATACAGACTTTACAATATCGATCATATTTATTATCTTCTCTCTAACATAAACTTTATGATAATTAACGAACAATTAACATGATTTTACTACAGTTGTTGATATAGTATAATCAATTCATCAGTGAAAAGATATCAACCGAAGAATGACCTAGATATTCTCTGTTATCAAACGTGTTTAAAAAAAGCTGAGGAGGGAGCGAGCGTAGGAATATTAACATTTCTTATTTGCATTTAGGGGGGGAAGTGATCTTTGGAGGAAAAATTAACAATAATTTTGGTTTCTTTTGCGTATGACATACACAACATCATTCTTATCGTGAACAATTATGTTGTATCTACTTATTAATGATGGAACTAATTTGTGTGAGTCGCCGCTGACTACAGTAATATATCTTGAACTAATAGTATGCACTGATCGAATATATTAAAAAGAAATATTTGTGATATCTTGGATGAATTGTACATGAGGACTTACAGTAGGGATATCCCCCATTGTTTCTCACAGAAACTGGCCACTACACCGGTCAATGAGAGTCCGATGAGGGAGATAGTGGGTGCGATCGTCAAAGGTCCGACAAATCTCAAAATCAAACCAATCAGACCTAGACCCCCAACAAAGACCTGCGTCAGCGAGGCTAGGATCAGGTTACCCTGCACCTACAAGTAAAATATCCTAAAATTAATTCTAAAACGGGTTGATGATACAAGGGTAAAAATTTCTGAACGAATAAAATCTAGGGAATAAGCCTTTTGAAACAGATTTCTGGCGATCTGTTTTTGGTAACTGGACTTTGGAAAACTTTTTCCGTTTAAAACAACATTTTACTGGACTAATAATCTAATCGAACCATCGCAAACAAGTCTTGGGAAAGATTATATTGGAACAACTTCATCCTCACAACGTCATGGATCCTGAATCAACGACAACGTATTGACTCGGGACCTCTTACGTTGACGTTGTGTGGATGGAGCAACTGAATTAGAAAATAACAGCTGAATAATTGAAGGCAACACTACTTAGGCAACATTAGGTGGTGCTAAAGGATTGGTAAAGTATAATTACAAAAACATTTCAATAATATTACAGAGAAAGGAAAACCATGTTTTAAAATATTTTCTCCCTGAATACAGCCTATAGGTTTCCACGGGTCATACTGGTAGTTTGTAAACATACAGATTGTAAGCATATATTGTTGTCTAGACAATGTTCATCCGAAGTCAGTTAAGGAATGTTTTTAAGTTTTGTGTGAATTATTGGTGTGTGGATCACACAGACTTGTCACGTAGGCATATTTCTAATCTCAGCGAGATGTCGTAGGGACTAAAATATTTGGTCGGACGTCCACAACGACATCTCAGTCCACTTCCACACAACCTAATTAGTGATTTTTTGCTCAGATTTCGACCGCTTGTTTCAATCAATATGGGCTGAAATGAATTATCTGCTCGCTTCAACTTTTTCCTTTGAACATCCCTTTAAGTCTCTATCACAATAAAACTTTCCTTTCTTACCTTTAAAATGTTTAAATCCAACAAAATATAAAGTTGTTTATTTTTCCTCTGTAATGTCCCATTCATTTAAATCTCCGATGTTGAAGAATTCCAAAATAGTCTGCTTTGAATAATTCGTACTATAGTTCATTCCTATAGGAAATAGTAGTAGAACGAATAATTCAGAGCAGACTATTGTGGAACTCTTCAACATCGGAGGTTTAAATGAATGGGACATTAGGCCTACAGAGGAAAAATGAACAACTTTATATTTTGTTGGATTTAAACATTTTAAAGGTAAGAAAGGAAAGTTTTATTGTGATATTTGCATTCTTTGATTTTTTTTTTCAAGAATATCAGAGGAAATCCTGACTTACACAAGGACGCAGCTTCTTGTCTTCAGTAAAGAAAAACATACGGCTTTAAAATCAGTAAACCTGATTACTGCATATTTTCTCTAATAAATCAAAAACATATTTATAAAGTATTTCCCTCGCAAGCTGGATACAAGCAGCGCCGTCATCACATTTTTGTTTTGATGCAGTTGTGACGTCATCGATCACCGTTAGGACCTGACGAAAATCAATAATTTAATACTATGATGAAAAATGAGAATGCTTTTATAATGATTAATACTCCAGAATGCTTTTTTGTAATTTTTTTTAGTTTTTCTATTTATTTTTAATAGCTGAAATTATTCTTGAAATAGATATATACTAATTAAAGAAATTTTCTCTTTCTGAATGTTATTACCCAAGTGTGAAGAGTTATCGTTCTTTGTTCAAATATGCATGATACAAAAAATAAAAATATGGCAGTTCTCTACAATTTTTAAAAAGTTTTATTATACAATTAAATACATTAAATACATACAAAGTTAAATTTTTAAAGATATAAATCAGCAATTTTAATTATTCTGAATATCCTTTTTTTCAAAGAATATTATTAAAAACTTATTTTTATTCCTCTTATGAAACATTTCATATATATACTTCTCGACACTCCAAACAACTGTAGTAGAGATTGGTCTACACGAGTGTGAAAGAGCAATTATCCTGCCTCTGATAAAAATCGTGAAATTTCATTGGCCGAGAGCAATACTGCATGAAACGATGTTATGCTGTCTACCCACCTCACATTGCTAATGTGCCCCCTCCACGTGACCTACCCACCATATATTAAAATTTTACCAACCACACATCATCAATATACTGCTTTCACATGACCCGCACGGAGCTTCATATCTGACGTCACAATACGTCTGACGACAATGTACAATGGATGTAGAACGTCTTGCTTGGACGTTCAGTGAAAGCGGTTTATTGATACTATCAATATCTAATCTTTTAGTGAATCATCGGCAGGATAAATTCGTTATGTAGACACTTAGAGGGGTAATACGGAAATATGTGGGGTCCTTGAAAAATTAAATATTGGACTCGGCTTACGCCTCGCCCAATATGGATTTTTTCAAGGACCCCACATATTTCCGTATTACCCCTCTAAGTGTCTACATAACTAATATTGTACTCATAGTAGAAGCAATTGCGTCTATAGTCCTATGAACGCAGTTGATGACTACATGTTCATAGTGGGAGAGAGAAGTGGATATGCAAATATACAAAAACGACTTTCAAATCAATTTCACTGTTGGCTTAGTAGAAAACACAGCGAATTTGAATATTATACAATTATAGCCTTTTGATGAGGTCAATCCCTCGATATATAGACCTTAGAGAAAGCATATCGACCGAGCACGAAGTGCGAGGTCGATATGCTTTCTCTAAGGTCTATTTATAGAGGGATTGTACCGAATCAAAAGGCCACAATTGTTTTATTATTTTTTACCAGTTAAAAAGAAATGTCTTAAAATCCTTCTTTTTAATACTCAGTACCTTCTTATACAAGGCATTGTTATGTCATTGCATTATGACGTCACAGTAATGAAAACCAGCTGCAGTTGTTATGGGTCAGAATTACCCGAAATGCCAGCAAAGATCAATAACACAATTTAAACTTAACAATAATTTATTTACAGTAATATATAATAAGTATATGAAACATAAAGTACAAACTTAGCAAGAATCTAAGAATACATACATCAGAGTGTCCGTTGCTGTACACAATGTCCCAATGAAAAATATCCCAGTTATATCTCAATAGTGCTTATACGACAAAGTATTCACAATTATTGTATATCTATGCATTGAATTGACAGGGTATTTATACAGTATTATAAATCTAGAATATTCTAGAAAATGTTAAAACATGATATTACTGGAACAATCTGGACATACACAAAACTTAAGAATGTTCTAGATAAAATGACCAAACATGTTGACCACTCTGGAATGTTCAAGAAACTTAATGTTACTAATTATATACATAATAAAACAATACACATCTCACAACACCTCCCCCCTTAAAAAAAAGTTTGAATGTCAATGAAAACTTATATTATTAAAATATTATTAAAATAAAAGTTTTGTACATTAATACAAAATCTAGTATGTTTACGATACTCTTGACAAAGCGTCTGCAATAACATTGTCTTTGCCTTTGATATGCTTAATTGTTATGTTGTATTCTTGTAACAACAAACTCCATCTAGTCAGTCTTTGATTCTTGTTTGACAATTTATGCAAAAATGTCAGGGGGTTGTGATCCGTATATACAAGAATTGGATGCAAAGTAACATTCAGATAAACATCAAAATGCTGTAAAGCTAACAACAAAGCAAGGCATTCCTTTTCAATGGTGGAATACTTTTGTTGACATTTTGTAAGTTTCTTTGAAAAATAAGAAACAACTCTGTCTACCTTATCACTATGTTCTTGAAACAAAGCTGCCCCGATTCCAACATCACTAGCGTCAACAGTAAGCTTAAATTGCTTAGAAAAATCTGGAGTTGACAGAACTGGGTTACTCATAAGGACAGATTTGATTTTATGAAAGGATTTTTCACAGTCTTTTGTCCATTCAAATTTAACCCTCTTTTGTAAAAGATTTGTAAGTGGACTAACAACTGAGGAAAAATTTGGACAAAATGTTCTGTAAAACCCAGCCATGCCCAAAAACCTCATTAATTCTTTCTTGTTTGTAGGAATCGGGAACTTTGCAATAGCTTCCACTTTAGCCATTATGGGTATAACATAACCTTGACCTACTTTATGACCTAAATACTCTACATAAGCATGACAAAATTCGCTCTTCTTAAGATTCACAGTTAAGTTTGCTTTAGCTAAAATGTCAAATAAAGCACGCATGATTCGGAGATGTTCGTCCCATGTGTTGCTGTATATGACGACATCATCAATGTAGGCCTCGCATCCCTCAAGGTCTTGAAGAAGGGAGTGAATCATCCTTTGGAATGTTGCCGGTGCGTTTTTCATGCCAAAAGGCATTACTTTATACTGGTAAAGTCCATCTGGTGTAGCAAAAGCAGATATTTCTTTTGCTCTTTCTGTTAACGGTACTTGCCAGTAGCCTTTCAACAGGTCAAATTTACTGACAAATTTCGCGTTTCCAAAGTTGTCAATACAGTCATCGATTCTAGGTATTGGATATGAATCAGTTTTGGTAACAGAATTCACCTTTCTAAAGTCTGTACATAATCGGTACGAACCGTCCTGTTTTGGTACAAGAATACACGGTGAGCTCCAATCACTTTTACTAGGTTCAACAATGTCATTGTCCAACATGTACTGCACTTCCCTTCTTAGGTACTGCAATTTTATTGGATTCAGACGGTATGGATGTTGTTTGATAGGCAGAACGTCACTCACTATGACATCATGACAAGCTGCATTAGTTTTCTTTGGAACATCCGAAAAGATTTGATGATACTCATTCATCAAGTTTTTAACTTGTTCTCTTTGGTGAATGTTCAAATATCCAAGTTTGGCATCAAAGTCAGCCAAAATTTCGGAGTTTTTCAAACGAACACTCTGATTACAATCTTTCTCATTCATTTCTACACTCGTATCACTTTCAATACAATTTTGAATAGTCTTAGCATTGGCTAAAGTGGAAACTGGTTTTACAGAATTTCGGTCACACCTTTCAAAATACTCTTTTAACATGTTAATGTGACAAACCCGTTTCTCTTTACGTCGACCTGGTGTCTTAACTACATAGTTTACATCACTGATCTTGCTTTCAATTTC